TGCCAGCCTGGGAACCGCAGCAGCTAAGAAGCCAGCACATGGTCACCTCTACATGCCCTGCTATTGTAGCAACCACAAAAGGTCCCACCAGAACAGGGCAAAGAACTGGTGACCTTAATAATTTACTATAGCACCAGAACTTAGTACTGAAATGTTAAAAATGTCCTCTCTCATTTCAGTTGGTTCACATCCCATGTGGAGGTCAGGGGGCTGATTTCTCACCCAGGACTTTGGAGAGTCTAATCCTCACTTTTGCCTTGTCAGTTTGGGTAACAAGTTGGGGTTTTATTAAAAAAAAAAAAAAAAATTATAAAAGCTACTCTGCCAACTTCATGTAGATTTTTATTGACTCCTACATTTTTGCATCTCGGCTCTCCATATATGAAAACCCAAATAACTAATCAAGATATCCCTTCTCACATCTTTTGGGATTATAAATAGGGAAACATTCAGAAGCATTAATATAAAATACCTAACAGCATAAATAACATCAATACACTTTGAATACTGTGTGCCAAATCTTATGTGGAGACTCTCATTTGCAACTAAGACATGGCTAGGTTGTTGTTTATGTTTCAGCCTTGGTGTTTGGACTTCTGTTATCCTTGGAAAGGTCTGTGAAAAGTTAACAAGAAAACCAAGTCTTTTGTCAATGGATTGAACTCACTGCCCAGGATGCCAAACCCCACTGAAAAATATTTAAGACTTACTAAATCAGCAGTAATTTTCCACCAGTTTTAGTCTCCGTGTGCAGATTCAGTGAGCTTTAGCCCATGATGTTGACTCAAGAGACTTCACTGAATTCCTTTCACTTTCCGAAGTGCATCTTATTCACAAGCCTTAGTCTGTCATATTTACCTTTGGAACTAGTTTAATTATATATTTTATATTGCCTACCATGAAAGGGATTTTCAGTGCTAAGCTAATACAGTTTTATGGATGTTGAAGGCATGGTAAGGTCTATTAGGTGTCAAGGCTATAATAACAAATTAAAACAGTGTCAAGATCAAATCCCCAGAAACTATGGACTATAATACAGTGCTTCATATCTGTAAACTCCTCTCCCAGATGAACTGATTTTAATGCAATATGAAAAATCAGAAATAAGTGACAAGTTTACCTCTACAGAGAGAGCACAGGGTACTAATAGACCTATGGTAGAGGTCAAACCTTCAAGAGCTTCTCCTCTCCTTGTTTACGGCACAATTTAGCCCATCCCTGAAGTAGCCAGACGTTTTTCCAAAATATCAGAACCCTTTTTTTTCCCCCAGAAGATCCTTATACATCCTTATCTGTAATTTGTGGTGATTTTTGATGGTTCTTTCAGAAAACCTTTCCCTAGCGTGTCAAATGGGACTCTGATTTTTTATATCTGCTTGTCTTGCTATTCACGTGCGTACCTTGCTCCCACTGGTTACGTTTCTGGCCAGAAGAACATAGAGGCAGTGTTATGTCAATTTTACTGGGGCTCCAGTCCCAGAAGCAGCGCACTCTCGAGCACAGAGTAGAACAACTCTACACCTGCTCCAAATTGGACTGGCTCCTAACAGCCTTTCCACAAGCCAAAGATTGCCTCAGCACACTGCAGGGACCACAAGACAAGGCTGCTGGCTCTGTTCCACCTGGAATTTCTGAGCCAGCTAGGAGAGAAGTCTTTCCAGGTGCTTAGAGATGTTGATGAATTGTAAGTGGTGGGTTGTGGGGAGGACCTTGTCCAAATGACCATTGAGCATACACATATTTAGGGGATAGGAATGAGTTCTTGTGTTACCATTTTTCAGCTTTTGCCTTGGTATCCTGGCCATCAACCTAACCTGAGCACTCAGAGTGCTGTTTTCCCATATTTCTTTTACTTGATCTTGTTGTCCCTTTCTGCAAAGTGCCATTGTCAGAAACCATTAGCTACAAAGCTATTATATGAAAACCTCACCAATCATTGCTTTATGAAGACTATCCAGTCCTTAAATCTTAATTGAGGAATAAATCATTGCACAGTTTAGCATTCTCCTTGTAAAGTGTACCCAGTGATGGGGGAAAAAATGGGACAAGTTTTCAACTCTGTTCTCAGGTATTTTATTAAGAGAATGTAAAAAGAGTAATAAAGCAAGGAAGGCATGAAATAGTCTGAAACTAATGAGAAATGCTTGGTTATGATTCACCTCTGCTGCAACATTAGAAACGGAGCAAAATTCAGCCCCTATATCATTGTCTGCATGTAAAGGCCAGATAAAGACCTTTTCTCTCCAAATTTCCTGTCCAAGAATATATAGTAGTATTAGAAGCTGGTGACAATTTGTTTCCCCAAAACATTAATTAAATGTTGGTAAAACTGGAAATAGATTTAGAGGTCACTTACTCATAAAACTTCTTGGGGAAGAACCCACATGGGGATATCTGCACACACCAGAGTATGCTTTTTGGTTTTAACCCTTCTTCCACCACTCTCACTGGTATAAAATGTTGATTTTAATGATGTGATTCCTGTGCTACATCTTGATGAAGTCAGAATGAAATACTGTGTCTCCCTCACAATTAATAAGTAAACTCTTTAAAACCAACAAGAGTCAAATAGGTATCATCAACTAATGCTATGAGAGTGTTCCATAAAAATCTAGCTGTCTTTGTTACATTAAGACATGGTAATAATTTATTATTGCAACAGAAAGCTTTGCACACCAATGCAGTTAAAATATAGATGGAAAATTAATCTGCATTTAGTAACTAAGAGCAGAATTCTGTTACAGTGGAGTGACTGCAAATTTGTATCCTTTAACTGCACTAATGTCAAAGACTTGTTGACCCTAATCCTTCTGATTTTTTCTGCAAGAATACAGAACTATCTGCCTTGTACTTTTGCCACACAATCTATTGAGTATACCACCTTATTGTAGGTATTATATTTTTTATAATATTAATTGCATAGAGATGTAGACTTCAGAAATACTGGGAGAAGAGAGGAGCTAAACCTAATATCTACTTATACCATTTCATAAAATGATTTTTATTACTAAGAATGTCAGTGGCAGATTTGGAAAAACTTTAATCTCCACTTAAAATAAAGGAAAAGGCAAAGAGTAGATATTGCATGTAGAAATTCCCAAATTATAGTCCTGATGTCTACATTTACTCCTGTTCATCAAGTCATTGAGGTCCCAGGTTCCTTAATTAATTGGGATTGCTTGGCATCCAGATGCCCATCAGACAGTGCTAATTACCCTCACTGCTGAAAATACAGATGTCAGCACCCAGTGCTCCATCCCCACAGGGAGAAGTGCCTTGCCACCACCCACCCCGAGTCAGGCTGACACCTTTCTGTCTGACCTAACCAGAAGACAGCAACCTTATTACAACTATCCTAAATTTTGAGGTCATTTAGATTTTGCAATCAAGGTTAGTCAAGCTTAATACAAGTATAGGGGAAATAAAAGCCTTTAGTTGCATTTCCTCCACTCCATGACCTCCCTCCAGCAGTCCTGCCCTGGCTGGCAGTGCCAGCGTGTCTACTATTGTCAGGAAGCTGCATTCCAGAGCATCAAGATCCTCCCCCCTTATTCCTATCCAGGCTTTACAGTGCAAAAAGAAAGGAGGGATGGAGGAGGGATGCCAGCAACAAGTTTTCTGCCAGCTTTTACTCCTGTCCATTGATCTGCACGCTGTGGAATGAAAAGCTTCTTTGACTTCCTACGACATGCGTACATAGAATGATTTATTAAAACTTATACATAGACTGAAAAACAAGTGTCCTTAGATGGGTTGCACTGCTAATTCAGCTTTGACACTAATTTATTGAATCCAGTTTGATTTCACAAGTTAGATGATGTTTTAATTCCTCAGAATTCTCAAAAGGATGAATGACAGATAAAGAAGTGAGCAGGGTGTGCCATCCCAAATTACCTATTATCTGCAACTCTGATCCTAGAAAATTTTTGTTAGAAAAAAAGTAGCATATCTGAGAAAGAAGCACTCATTTTTTCTTGACAGCTAGAATCTATAAGATTCCTCTCCATAATCATTAAACAAGTACCAATATCCTTCATAGTGTACAATATAATTACTAAGATTGACATCTGATCCTTTAAGTGCATATAGTATGCAGACAACTTTGAAGCATTTTGCACTGAGGTAATGCAACTTGATTCTGAAATTTGTTCATAAATTACTATATTTAAAATCATTTAAAAGGAAAAAGTGAAGAAAAGTGACTTATCTTAATCAGATTGGCTATTTTTTCAGTCATCATGTTATACTCCAGATAAACTGTTGTTGTGGTTTCACCTCAGTTGGTAACTGAGTACCACACAGCCACTCA